GTAACACCATATCATCAATATCACGTAGTGTCACCAACCAGTGGTGAAATATCAAGTGAATTTAGTGGGCTCCATTGTTTCAATAACTATTTTTTTTTTTGTACAAAAAATGGATATGCAGATAGATCACTATTATCTCTTAGCACCACAAAGCTATCTGCAGGGGGTTCTACCGCACCTACATTGGGGCCGAAACTAAAGTCTCACTGTGTGCTCTGGGCATTGAAGAGTAGATTTAGCTCCAACGAGTTGTCATAGCTATGGAGACTAGAACTGAAGTATTGAGCGAGAAAATCCGCGTTCATCACCAATGAGCCAACAAAACTACTAGCAACCACCTTTTCTAATATCTGTCATATCGGAATAATGAGGTTCACCATTCTTTTTTGTTATTTTATAATTAGTTGATGACACCATGTAACATTGATAGCGTGATATCACTGTTACACTCAATATTTACTCAAATTCTGGTCCACAACAATAGAATAAGGAGAAAACACACATAAGATTTGTTGATGCAGTACTGGTGGTGAGATTTTTGGTATTTTATTGAACATAGTCAATGTCGTTCTATTATGGAATTCTAGACAATGTTTTACACCTAGAATAAGAATCTAAATCGGTATTTGTGCACAAATCAACAATTTATTTTCATTATCCATTCTCATTTCTTATACTATTGTTTTTACTCGCTTTCTTGCAGCACTCCCCCACTTAGGTTCTTTGAAGTAATCATGATGTAACAATATTTTTTCTTGTTATGGGATGTAAATCAATCATCAATCATATATGGAATATAGTATATATACCATTAGTGTATGCGTGTGCATTTTTGTGCTTTTATTTGGTGGTAAAAAAAATTATATATATTTCTTTTGTTCTTCGTTAAAAGACACTATCAAGAACCTGTAATTTTTTTGAACCTCTACCTGATAATACCACAAGGTCATGGATATTGAGTCCTTGACTGACAAAATTCCTCTGGAGGGTGGTGAAGTTAGAGAAAGGGGAGGGCAGGTTGGCCAAGGCTTCTGTTTCAAGGGACACTCTGCCATCTCTTCTACCAGTGAGCACTTCCCAAATTGGCTTTTTATTTTGAAACTGCAAATATTTTATACTGATGTTAATTAATCAATTGACGAACAATTTTATGTTGCAGTACGAAGGGAATTTACAAATATTACCTGAAAAGAAACCGAGTCTCTGGTTGCCAAAGCAAGAATATCTGCACAAGATACAACTCCTGGACATTTTGTCTCGAGCTGAGCTTTAATGTCGTTGATAACATCAAAACCCGTCAGGGAAAGATTTGGAATTGCATCTTTTTCTGCCTTGCTATTTGCAATCGAGTTCAATAAAATTGAGCCCTCACAACCCTGAGGAAAAGTTCCAATATGCAATTATATATTCATTTGTACAAAATGATTTTACAGTTAATAGAACTCTAATTGTAGGTAGGCCTCTCAATAGACCGGATTTTATTCCGAAATTGATCTGAACCTGAATTCGTTTAAGTAGATGTGGATCAAATTTTTAATCCATTAATTTGATATGAATCCAATTAGAGTTGTTTAAACGGATTCGGATATGAATTTATAATAATTCGATCCTTTATTAATCTGATATGAATACAAAAATATATTATGTAAATAAAAATATACTTACACTTGAAAATAAGTAAAAATAGAGTGAATATCAAAATGTATGACCCATTTTTTTTCATTTTTATTTTATTTGCCTCCCTTGTTTAATTTTTCCTTACTTTTACTTCAATTTTTCAATTTTCTCATTTTTTTAGTTCATTACCTAAATTCTTATTGTAAATGTTTTCGTCTNTCAATTTTTCAATTTTCTCATTTTTTTAGTTCATTACCTAAATTCTTATTGTAAATTTTTTTGTGTACATGTGGTTTTTGTGATAATCAAATCGAATCGGGCATCTAAAAATTAACGAATTCGGACATGGATTTAATTTCTCAAATCCATCAGATAATTAGATCACATCGGATCGGATTTACAAAAACTTAATCGAATTCAAAATTGAATATAGGTCAATTCAATTCATATCCGATCTGTTGACACTCCTAATTGTATGTCTTTACATCNTCTAAAAATTAACGAATTCGGACATGGATTTAATTTCTCAAATCCATCAGATAATTGGATCACATCGGATCGGATTTACAAAAACTTAATCGAATTCAAATTTGAATATAGGTCAATTCAATTCATATCCGATCTGTTGACACGCCTAATTGTATGTCTTTACGGCTCAATCTTGATGTGAAATGATTGTTCCAACCTAATTGTATGTCTTTACAACTCAATCTTGATGTGAAGTGATTGTTCCAAGATAAGTCCCGGGATTTCCTAGTCATGTTTCATTTAAAACATAGTGATATCTACTCAATTTTTTTTAGAAAGTTGAGTACAAAAATGTACAACCTTTCTTTTTGCCGTGTTAATGTGTATAAATCTAACTTTTTCCAAACTCTATAATAATAGGTGTTTCGTGAATTGAACTATCTTTCCCGTATGCAATAATGCATGGAGTGCTATTGCTAAACAGGATAATAGGTATGAAAATGTTGTCTTACCCTAACAAAACAGTCATGGAAATGCATTCTGAGGAACTTCGCCGGCAAGATTGGATTGGTGGAGGTATGCTTCCATGTGACGTTCTGGACGATTTCTTCTGCAAGAGGACATGATTTTTCGTAGAAATTCCTCCTTAAATTTCCTCCTTCACAAACACCAAGAACAGCACAAACTGTTACACAGACCAGCAAGAGAAAAACAGCCTTCATTTTCTTAGGAACAAACACTGTTAAGGAACTATTATCAGAAGTGTTTTAAGCCGCAAAGCCTTCGACTAACTTGTTCTTCCTTTTATACTCTTCCAATGGCACCTTCCCAGTCCGTTGTGCAATAGAAAAATACATTTTCTTTAGAGAGAGAGTGAGCTGCCGGTGAGAAATACAATATATGCCAGCCATGCATGTTTGTAATATTTAATTATTTTTGGAGTAATTGTTATTAAGACCTNAGCAAGAGAAAAACAGCCTTCATTTTCTTAGGAACAAACACTGTTAAGGAACTATTATCAGAAGTGTTTTAAGCCGCAAAGCCTTCGACTAACTTGTTCTTCCTTTTATACTCTTCCAATGGCACCTTCCCAGTCTGTTGTGCAATAGAAAAATATATTTTCTTTAGAGAGAGAGTGAGCTGCCGGTGAGAAATACAATATATGCCAACCATGCATGTTTGTAATATTTAATTATTTTTGGAGTAATTGTTATTGGGACTTNGAGTGAGCTGCCGGTGAGAAATACAATATATGCCAGCCATGCATGTTTGTAATATTTAATTATTTTTGGAGTAATTGTTATTAAGACCTAAAAATTGATCAAATTAATTTGTTGACTTAATGATGTGACAATACCGTGATCTAAAAGTATTGTGGTGATGGTAAGTGTTGGACTTTTCCATTAGGATTCAACAATTTGTCATTAGTAAATTAAGTCAATTTTTTAAATCGTCATAACATGCTCAATTTTTTCAAGTCAAGAATGTCGTGTATCAATCTTTGGGGACAGATCACGAGAAATTTAACTTTCATGAATATCCTAATTTCAACGTGAATAGTCTGTTTTTGACTAGATAAGAGAGAGGATTAATTGAACTGTGCATGAGGTGACTTGAACACTTCTACCTGTTAAATCAAACAACAAAAAAAATGATAAACTACATTAATGACATGAGATCCATATATATGAATCAGACAAATAGAAGTAATTACATTTGCAATGTTGTAGTTAAACATTACAAGAGGCATAAATGCANTAACATGCTCAATTTTTTCAAGTCAAGAATGTCGTGTATCAATCTTTGGGGACAGACCACGAGAAATTTAACTTTCATGAATGTCCTAATTTCAACGTGAATAGTCTGCTTTTGACTGAATCAGAGAGAGGATTAATTGAACTGTGCATGAGGTGACTTGAACACTTCTACCTGTTAAATCAAACAACAAAAAAAATGATAAACTCCATTAATGACATGAGATCCATATATATGAATCAGACAAATAGCAGTAATTACATTTGCAATGTTGTAGTTAAACATTACAAGAGGCATAAATGTAAATAAAAGAAACTGACCATAGTATGATGAAGGGCAAACACTTGGTCAAACACACAAATCTGTCTGCAATTTCAGTCGCAAGTTAATCATCCTTTAATTTCTTGGATATTTGTGCATTGTTATATATAATCAGTAATGCTAGATTACTCAAATTTGGAGCTCAAATGACATGATAGTGGACTTGAGCNCTTGGATATTTGTGCATTGTTATATATAATCAGTAATGCTAGATTACTCAAATTTGAAACTCAAATGACATGATAGTTGATTTGATCTTCTTTGATTGGTGTGATATCATTTGGATACCAATAAAAACTTCAAATAATCAACTATCATGTCATTTGGTTTCAAAATTTGATCAATATAACATTACTTATATATAATATGTTGAATAATATTGTAATATGTTGAATAATATTGTGAACTCCCGTGAAAGATTGAAGAGTTCCTTAAATATTGATGTCTATTGAGGAGTCATTATTTNGGATACCAATAAAAACTTCAAATAATCAACTATCATGTCATTTGGTTTCAAAATTTGATCAATATAACATTACTTATATATAATATGTTGAATAATATTGTGAACTCCCGTGAAAGATTGAAGAGTTCCTTAAATATTAATGTCTATTGAGGAGTCATTATCTNCTTATATATAATATGTTGAATAATATTGTAATATGTTGAATAATATTGTGAACTCCCGTGAAAGATTGAAGAGTTCCTTAAATATTGATGTCTATTGAGGAGTCATTATCTAGTACAAAAATAAAAGAACAATGCTAACAGCTACAAGGTCATGGGTTGGAATCAAATGTGGCGTTTAGTTCGCAGTAAAATTTGTAAGTGACAATGAAATAAATGTGGAATCGAACTAGCTTGAGATGTACATTGTCTTTCAGATATTATGCTTTATACCCAAACATTGAAAACTCAGGCCAAAGGACTGAGGATCCCTAACACAAGACTCGGGACTCCAGACTTGGGACGCAGGNTGTGGCGTTTAGTTCGCAGTAAAATTTGTAAGTGACAATGAAATAAATGTGGAATCGAACTAGCTTGAGATGTACATTGTCTTTCAGATATTATGCTTTATACCCAAACATTGAAAACTCAGGCCAAGGACTGAGGATCCCTAACACAAGACTCGGGACTCCAGACTTGGGACGCAGGACCCAACCTCAAATCCAGACCCAATACTCGAGGTGGAGGTGGAGGTGGTTGTTTGGAGTAATGGTGGCGATAGTAGTGGGGTGATTAGCAATGCGTAATACCACCTCATGTTGTAAAACAACTAATCACTAGCATGGGAGAATGAGTATTTCTTGGTCATTTTATTCTCATTCTCCATTGCCAACAACAAAATACAATGTATGAATTTAGAGTAAGAAAGAATTTTCTTCGTAATTAAGCAACGTCATTTAACTAAGTTGAGGGACGACTTTGTATAATAAAGGTACACCATATCGTCAATAAATAATAGGTACCCCAACCCCAGGCATAATTAGTGATCCCGACCATTTTGCACAAATACAAACTTTTGGTAATGCCATTAAGCATATGGTGCTATAATGCTTCCTGGAAGTACCCATTCATCTTACAAATTTTGATCAATGATTGAAAGTCAAGTTGGAATTAGAAAACCTTATCTCTCTCTCTCTCTCTCTCTCTCTCTCTCTCTCTTCAAATTTAAGATTCCAAAACAAAAGTTAAAAAGGAAAATACTATTTGGATCTAAAAATCTAACATAATTTGCTGACCTAATGACGTGACTTTATTGAAACCATTGGATAAATACTAAATTCCAATATTTGATGGAGTTCACAATTAATCTAAAGGTCATGAATTATATCAATAAATTAGATCCCAATATAATTGCTCAAAGTTAAATCTACATAGGAAGGTACGGGATTGAACTTCATAAGCACCTCTCAAATTTTAATGTGTTTGCCAGCCCTTCTCTTCTCATTACAAGTCAATGACTATTCACCAACTGCCTCCATTACTAATTTTAGTTAGGCGGAATCACACTTTATACCTTGGAAGGTTTAAATATTCGTACTCTCAATATTAGATTTTTTTATATTCTACTTTCAACGTATTAAAATTATTGTAATGTGACCTTATCGTTAATTTTTGTTGTAATATGACTATGTCGTTAATTTATGTTGTAATGTGACCCTATCGTTAATTTCTGTTGTAATTTATGTTTTTCATTCCTTCAAAATTTATTTCATTGACATCAAGGAAATGCGAGACGCAAACCAAAGATTGGGTTACATTGCAATATTTTTTATATATTGGGGGTTTAATTTAAAATTTTTAATTTTTAAGGATATAAAATATTTTTTTTAAAACATTTTTAAAAGGTCATTTGGAAGCCGGTATATCAAATTAGACATAATTGTAAAAAATTACATAGAACAAAATATTTTGAAAAAAAGTACATAGCTAAAATACAAAGACATAAATGCTCATTTTGTAAAATTTTCTTTCCCAAAAATTTTAACAAGACATTTATTAAACTCTGAAATTTATGGTCATTTCATTCAAAATCTCTTATCTTTAATGCACTTTGAATCATGTGTATTTTTTTTAGAAAATAATTTTATTTTTTAAATTATATTTATGCATTAAATATTTACTACTACTACTTTTATAGAAAAATTTTAAAATTTTATTTATTTTAGAATATATCACTTGTTTGAATTTTAAAATTTGTTAATATCCGAACCTCATAATAGTGTAATGGACAAAAATAGTGTAACAAATATAATGTAACAAAGACAGTGTAAAAATACACTGTAACAAAAACGGTGTTCAATAGTTTTGTGCATGTGGTAACAAATTCAAAACGAGGATGAATTGTTTTGAAAAAAATTATATGAAAATATATGTTTAACAAAATGTAATAATACAATATTTTGTGTAAATGACTTTTTACACTGTTACACTATTCGGATATTATTATAATTTGAAAACAAAACCGTTTTCCAAAAAAAAAATACACATAAATCAAGGTTCATTAAATATAATTTGAAAACAAAACCACTTTTCAAAAAAAATAAGCATTAATCAAGGGAAGACATACAAATATGGAATGTTAAAGTTCTCTCATAAAAGTAAGAGATGTTTAATACACCACTTTTCAAAGAAAATTAACATGAATCAATAGAGGACAAAAATGTCACAAAAAAATCAGTAAAATTCAAATAATATACTTAAATACAAATAAGTATCAAAACTAAGGACTTAATTATCCAATATTTTTTTTTATGTATTTTTATACAATTAAATCTAATTTGGTATATCCCTTCCAATTTCCCCTAAAAAGATGGATTGGATGTGGCCAATTGTGTTGGGCTAGTTTTAGTCTCTGAGAATGGTATCTCAAGTATTGGGCCATTGGTCGAAGGCGAAATGAAATGAAATAGAGTAAGCAATGTTGTTTGGATTTTAAAAATTACACCATTCGCTTTTAAATATATGTCGTTTTACACAATTTTTTTTTTCTATAATATCTGTCATTTTATAAAATCAAAACATAATTAATATTTTTTCTTCCAAATTTATCCTTAACTTTTCAATGCATTAGATTAGGTGGAGGTTAAGTGCCTTTCATATTTTTTTCCTTTCCAATACGTATTGAATAAGAGTATTTTAGTCCTGTGTAATTATGTTTTACTCATATTAGAGTTATTTAATAACTTCTTTAATCCTTGTGCAAAAATCTTAAACGACAGATATTTAAGAACGGATGGAGTAACACCATTTGTTGACTTCATTAATTATTGTCATTGATTTAATTGTCTTCATATTTATTGGAATCCTCTATCTATTCAATGAATGTGATCGATGAAGTTAGCAAATATTGTCAACTTTTGAAATCCAAATAACGTTTTTTCCTAACAACAATAGGAAGAGTAAAACTAAACTGATCAAGTTTTGAGACTAAATTTAGAGTTCAAATGATATGACAGTTGATTATTTGAAGTTTTTATTAATACCCAAATGACATGACATCAATCAAAAAAGTCCAAGTCAACTGCCATGTTATTTAGGCTCTAAATTTAATTTCAAAATTTGGTCAATCTAACATTCCTGAAATAGGAAAATTAGATTCACATGGGACACCAAACATGATTCAATTTGGACCGCTCCTGTCCTAGATTTTTTACGAGGGCCCCGCCACGTGTCTTCATGTCTGTATGTCTAGCCTGAAATGACATAACTGCCCTCCTATGGTAAAAATAAAATGTCATTATTAATTCCTTGCAATATAAATATTATTAATTTATCAAAGGGGGTAAATCACTAATTACAATTAACTTAAGAATCATGAATGCTAAGTCTATATAAAACATGACAGGTTTTAATAAATTTAACTGACGGTTTCAAATAAATTTATTCAACGGTCACTAATATCTCTCTCAAAATTATTCACATTAACTTAAGTTACATCGTATTTTCAGACACGAGTTACCCATAATAAATTTATATAATCACTACCATTTGAACAAAAAGTATCTAAAAATCTTAATTCGTGATTTTCATGTGTGAAAACTTAGTTAGCTTATGCATATGTTTTGGCCACCTCATGGGGGAGCTGTTCGTCATATTTTTCAATATCTGAAAATACCAAAAAAAAAATAAAAAAATTAAATAGCTAGGTATAAGGATTGTTATATGGGCCATCATTATCTATAACTGTTATCGGATATTCTGATGCTAACTAGGCAGTCCAATCGTATTAACTAATGATTTTTTTTTTTATTATTATATATTCGTTAATAATAATCTCGTTACTTAGCTAAATATCCTGTGTCCTGTCTTATATGTTGCATGTGAGATGTCAAAGGTTGACTTTTTAATTCGTGGGTTGGGTATTAATATTGCAACTGCATTGTCACAACTAGAGAACAATTTCCTTGCTAGAAATCTAATGATTGCTGAGTGCGTGATATACATCAAAATTGATTGTCATTTTATTTGAAATCTTTTAATGTGATTTATTGTCATTCCCAATGAAATACTAACTTATTACAACGAATACATTTTACAAAGCCTCACCCACAGCCAGGAAGTTGAATGAAAACATGAACACCATATTTAAACATAGAACAAACTCTTACAGTGTGCTAACATACAAATTGACTAATCAAAAATTTCATGGTAATTAAAACAGAATAAAACAGTCCAATTAATTTATGACGCTGCACTTCTTCCTTATCTCGCCCAATGTCCCAGTGAGCACTCCAATGGCTCCCATCTTCTCCATCGACATTCCAAACTCACTGAAAAAGGTATTTTGATTCGTCAACTGATTGATGAGTTTGCCCAAGCCCGTGTTTGTTAGGAGAGCTGCGTCGGATTGGAAGAGGCCTTCATGCTGCTTGAGGATGACGTAGTAATGAGCATCGAAATTTCGAGAGCTGTGAGGGTCCATTTCCACGGTTGATGTGTCCGTGAGGTTTTTACACTGGGTTTTCAGGAAAGCAGCATATGTTGGGTTCAGAGAAGGGTCTTGGTCTCCCTTTCCAGTAAAGTTGTAGAGCCTGTTGCTAAAAAAATTGCAGTGGCCTACTCCAATGGTGTGTCCACCTACATTATTCCATTGAGTCATTTTGTCAAACAATAGTTATGATTTAAATTTTTATACGAATGATTTGATTGTCTCTACCTGATAATACCACAAGGTCTTGGACATTGAGTCCTTTGCTAGCAAAACTTTGCTGGAGGGTGGTGTAGTTAGAGAAAGGCGAGGGAAGGTTAGCCAAGGCTTCGCTAGCAAGGGACACTGTGCCATCTCTTCTACCAGTGAGCACTTCCCATATTGGCTTTTTAAACTGCAAACATTGTAGAGTGAAGTTAGTGAATTGGAGCATAAAATTAGCTTCCCAAATTAGGTCCAATTGCTCGGCTGGAAAGGATTTACAAATATTACTTGAAAAGAAACCGCATCCCTGGCTGCCAAAGCAAGAATATCTGCACAAGATACAACTCCTGGACATGTTGTCTCGAGCTGTGCTTTAATGTCGTCGATAACATCAAAACCTGTCAGAGAAAGATTTGGAATTGCATCCTTCTCCGCCGTGCTGTTTGCAGTCGAGTTCAATAAAATTGAGGCCTCACAACCCTAAAGAAAGTTTCAATATGCAATTATAAATATGCATTGTACAATATGCTNCCGCCGTGCTGTTTGCAGTCGAGTTCAATAAAATTGAGGCCTCACAACCCTAAAGAAAAGTTTCAACATGCAAGTATAAATATGCATTGTACAAAATGTTTTTACATTTCATAGAACTCTAAATGTGGGTCTTTACAGACTTACAGTTCAATTTTGATGTGAAATGGTTGTTCCAAGACATGTCCCGGGATTTCCTACTCATGTTTCATTTAAATCATAGTCATAACTATCAATGTAAGTCTTTTCTTTTCATTTTTTATTTGAAATAATTGTCCCATGNTAAATTATTTATGCGGAATAAATCCCTCATGCCTAACTCCTAAGGATTGCTAAGATATATGTTTTGGCAACGCCTAACCTAAAACTGTTTTGAACAGTCTAACATGAATTGAATAACGATCTATAATATAAAATATGATATGTTTCAATAAATTCATTCAACAGTTTCAAATAGAATCGTTCAATGGCCAACAACATTTCTCACAAAACCATTCAAATTAATTTGAGTTGCATTTTGTCTTTAAAAATGAGTTACTCCTAATAAATTTATATAGTCACTAACATTTGAATAAAATTGAAGAAAAATACATCAAAAAGATGTTAATTTGTGATTTTCACTTNGGTTATGAGAGCCTGCTACTGTTTTTTAAGATAATTTCGTTTTCTTCTAATTAAACGCATATAATTTAAAATCTGATTTAATTCTCAGGAGAAAACACCATTTTACCCCCTAAAAAATAAAAAATTCTCAATTTGTCCNAGATGTTAATTTGTGATTTTCACTTGTGGAAACTTAGTCAGCTAATGCAAATGCATTGTTAAAACCTATTGAACCATTTCCTTGCTAGTAATCCAATAATTGATAAGTCTATAATATACATCGAAATTGATTATCCTTTTATTTGCGATCTTTTAACGTATAAGATTATCACTACTTATGTAAAATCTGGTGAACAACTTAATGATATTCTTACCAAATATTATCAACTTNACCGTCTATTTATAATTCTTAATTAATTGATTTGATACAAAACAGACGAACGACCAATGTGATTTCTAATTGATTGATTTAACACAAAACAAACGGATGACTTGACACAAAAATAGATGGACAACCAAATGTGACTCTTAATTGATTGATTTAACACATCACAGACAGACGGCAAAATAAAAATAAGATAGTGGGCTATATTATAATATTTTTATTTTTTTGAGAGATCAATATAAAAAAATTAATTATTTGAGGACAAGCTAAAAATTTTTGTATTTTTCAGAGGACAAAATTGGATTTACTCTCCTTCTTGAGCAACAAAAAGGCTGCAACTCTCGTACTCNAAATAACTTAATACAACGAATACATTTTACAATGCCTCACCAACAGCCATGAAGCCAAATGAAAACATGAACATAATACTCAATCATAAAACAAACTCATACAGTGTGTTAACATGCAAATAACTCAAGACTTTAATGTGAATCATCACATATCGCATGGTAATTAAAAGAGAATAATACAGTCCAATTAATTTTTGACGCTGCACTTCTTCCTTATCTCGCCCAACGTCCCAGTGCGCACGCCAATGGCTCCCATCTTCNCTTACCCTAACAAAACAGTCATGGAAATGCATTCTGAGGAACTTCGCCGGCAAGACGGGGTTGGTGGAGGTATGCATCCAGGTGACGTTCTGGACAATTTCTTCTGCAAGGGGACATGAATTTTTGTAGAAATTCTTGGTCAGATCTCCTCCTTGACAAACACCAAAAACAGCAAAAACTGTTACAGTTACGCAGATCAACAAGGATAAAACAGCCTTCATTTTCAAAAATCTCAGTACACAAACACAAGCAAGTAGCTAGCTATAATCAGAAGCGTGTTAAGCCGCAATGCCTTGGACAAACCTAGTTCTTCCCTTAAATACTCCTTCAATGGTATGTTTCGAGAACGTTATACAAAGGTAAAATATATTTTCTAGAGGGGGACACCACACCAGAAACTAGCTGTCGCCTGCCGGTGAGATACATGATGTCATGCATGTTCTGTAATGTTCAATATTTTTTAAGACTAAAGAATGTAGTTCATTCGAGCAGTCTATATTAATCAGGTCTACATGAATCATATCAAGAGCTGTAAAAGAAAATGGCCAATATTGTTGGATGATAANATATATTTTCTAGAGGGGGACACCACACCAGAAACTAGCTGTCGCCTGCCGGTGAGATACATGATGTCATGCATGTTCTGTAATGTTTAATATTTTTTAAGACTAAAGAATGTAGCTCATTCGAACAGTCTATATTAATGAGGTCTACATGAATCATATCAAGAGCCGTAAAAGCAACTGGCCAATATTGTTGTATGATGAATATAAACTAATTTTAGTTCTATGACCATACAAATCTTTTCTTTTACCCTTGGTAAGAAATACAAGTCTTTCAGTAGTTTACTTCATGTGTGAATGTTTGTATATGATGCAGTACATATAATAGAAGATTGCATATCATATCAATACCATTGAAAGCAGTACAATCATATATGAACGTTCCTCTATAATGCAGCATGTATATTAGAAGTCTACATGACATATCAAAACTGTCGAAACCAGCACTGATCGGGCACCAACCAGGATTATTCTTGGGCAACAGTGTTCGAAAATTTCATAAGACACTATTCCGGTAAGCTCTTGGCACTTTTTTATTTTATCCCACTGTTTGAGTTATTTTCGTAATATTGCATATTTGCTTGGATTTTCTAGTAATTTAGGACCATTATTGATTCTTATTATATGGTGTTGAAAAAAAATTCGACAACTTTTGTTTATTTTAAATAAAATTTAGGGACAAGTTTTTTTTCAATCCCCAATTAACTTGATATTTTAAAAAATCAACAAGATTTTTGAAGACTCTAATCTAGTATTATTGCGATAATCAACAGATTATAGTATTGTTATTTGATCTCGTTTCTTATTCACGCTACCCTGCATCACTCTCTAGAATATTTGTTCCTTTTTCATTTATTTATTTTCTAGGAATTTTTATGCTAGAGGGATGATAGAGGATTCGGGGAATATTATGCTAAATAACGTTGTGAACTGTGAAATTGTAAGGGGTAGAAATCGCTACGGATCTCATCCCTCCACTTGAAAGATTTCGGCTTGACCTGGGTTAACCCACGCGGGCGACCCCCCAGTAGCCTTTACCCCTCAGTGCCCGCAGGAGCTTCGTCCCACATCGACTGAGAGTCGTCTCCCCCCCTCGCATATAAGCCCTTGCACTCAAAGGAGGAGGTACCCACTAGGCACCTGATCAGATCGCTAGTGGGTACCTCCACCTTTGAGTGCAAAGNACTTTTGTTTATTTTAAATAAAATTTAGGGACAAGTTTTTTTTCAATCCCCAATTAACTTGATATTTTAAAAAATCAACAAGATTTTTGAAGACTCTAATCTAGTATTATTGCGATAATCAACAGATTATAGTATTGTTATTTGATCTCGTTTCTTATTCACGCTGCCCTGCATCACTCTCTAGAATATTTGTTCCTTTTTCATTTATTTATTTTCTGGNAGGTAAAGGCTACTGGGGGGTCGCCCGCGTGGGTTAACCCAGGTCAAGCCAAAATCTTTAGTAGAGGGTTCTACCCCTTACAGAAATCTAATCCAATACAGTGGTAAAATGCTGAGGCTAACAACTATTTTTTTATGTGGTTTATCACACTAGTTAATAGAAGCATTTGTTATTTTTTTTTATTGAGTGTCTCAGCTCTGAAGTCAATGCTAATCATGCTTTGAACCTCTCCAATTTTAATGCATTTCCCAATTCTTATCTCCTCTTTACAAGTCAATGACTATCAATACCAATTTGATCTGAGTTCTCTTATTCACCTACCGCCTGCAAACCCTTTTTTCTTTTGGGGTGGGGGGAGATACATGCACAAGAATGTCTCTTCTTACTTTTAGCCAAAGTCAATCAGGTTTTGGAGGGTGCAATGTATCTATAAGCGGATGAAGACTCTTCAAAGCCAGTAGTTCTACAGGAACATTGTGGTTTTTCTGTTATTTTTTATAATTCCAAATTACTATAATTAGACAAACGTGTTGTAACGTTTGACATTTCGAAACTTTTATAAGATTACTGTGTCGACTGTCCAATCGGTTAATTAATTATAGTTCTACAAGCACTTATGTCATGAATATGCTTTGTCCAACCAATCATATGAAGCAGCCAAGTCCACCTATAATTCCCAGAACACATGACCAAAGATTCCAAATCAAATATAGAAGTGTCCTTCAGAATTTCATTTAAGGTAGCTTAGATGTGGTGAGACCAACCTTTACCAAAGTTGTCGGAAGCACGAAGCAGCCATTATATATATCTGGCGGAGGTGGTACTTTATCTATCATAATGGTTCACCAATGCGTATGAATGTACAAATGAGATTAATAACAGAAAAAAAAAAAAAAACCAATACAAGTATATACAACAAATATTTGTGAAATATGATATAATGGATTTGAATTCGAATTCTTTGTGGANAATGGTTCACCAATGCGTATGAATGTACAAATGAGATTAATAACAGAAAAAAAAAACCGATACAAGTATATACAACAAATATTTGTGAAATATGATATAATGGATTTGAATTCAAATTCTTTGTGAAAATATAAATTTCATATTCAACAAAATGGANATACAAGTATATACAACAAATATTTGTGAAATATGATATAATGGATTTGAATTCGAATTCTTTGTGGAAATATAAATTTCATATTCAACAAAATGGACTGAATTTGAATGAAATTTAAAGCAAATCTAATTCACCGATGAACCTACTTCACTCAAGGATGTTAAGATTCAATCCTCATCAAAAAATATGGATTGGTCTTTTTTGCCAATTTTTTTGGGGGAATTTTGTTCTATATTTCTTGCAATATTATTATTATAAGAATAATGTAACTATGCTTCCATGTATTTTATAATTTATTACATTTCATCGCATCACGATTCATTTGAACATCATTCAAAGAACAATGTTTTTTATATGTATAATAGTGAATTGTGGTTCCATATTAAAAAGAAAATTTTAGGAAGTATTATGGCCAACTAATGGAAGTATATGTAGTTAATCAAGTTGTTCTAGATGTAGCATTGCCAACAGTAATGTGCCATGAATATAATTTGAGGGAAGAAAAGGAAGATAAAATGAGAAACCAAGTGTTAACATCGAAATATGTTTTTTCTTTTTAACGCTCAGGGATATACGAGTCAGTTTCTATGCACCTCGATTAATCCCTTTTGGTCTGGTCAAAAATAAGTCATCCATATCGGAACTAAATTATTTATGCGGAATAAATCCCTCATGCCTAACTCCTAAGGATTGCTAAGATATATGTTTTGGCAACGCCTAACCTAAAACTGTTTTGAACAGTCTAACATGAATTGAATAACGATCTATAATATAAAATATGATAGATTTCAATAAACTCATTCAACAGTTTCAAATAGACCCGTTCAATGGCCAACAACATTTCTCACAAAACCATTCAAATTAATTTGAGTTGCATCTTGTCTTTAAAAATGAGTTACCCCTAATAAATTTATATAGTCACTAACATTTGAATAAAATTGAAGAAAAATACATCAAAAAGATGTTAATTCGTGATTTTCACATGTGGAAACTTAGTCAGCTAATGCAAATGCATTGTTAAAACCTATTGAACCATTTCCTTGCTAGTAATCCAATAATTGATAAGTCTATAATATACATCGAAATTGATTATCCTTTTATTTGCGATCTTTTAACGTAAAAGATTATCACTACTTATGTAAAATCTGGTGATCAACTTAATGATATTCTTACCAAATATTATCAACCTCATAAACATTCTTTCATTCCAAAAGAAATTGCTGACAATATTTTTCACATAAACATGAGTGTTATGTCATTCCCAATGAAATTTTTTACTAAAATTGTTGTTTGGGAAACATTTTCCAAACCAAACAAAATAACTTAATACAACGAATACATTTTACAATGCCTCACCTACAGCCATGAAGCCAAATGAAAACATGAACATAATACTCAATCATAAAACAAACTCATACACTGTGTTAACATGCAAATAACTCAAGACTTTAAGGTGAATCATCACATATCGCATGGTAATTAAAAGAGAATAATACAGTCCAATTAATTTATGACGCTGCACTTCTTCCTTATCTCGCCCAACGTCCCAGTGCGCACGCCAATGGCTCCCATCTTCTCCATCGACATTCCAAACTCACTGAAAAAGGTATTTTGATTCGTCAACTGATTGATGAGTTTGCCCAAGCCCGTGTTTGTTAGGAGAGCTGCGTCGGATTGGAAGAGGCCTTCATGCTGCTTGAGGATGACGTAGTAATGAGCATCGAAATTTCGAGAGCTGTGAGGGTCCATTTCCACGGTTGATGTGTCCGTGAGGTTTTTACACTGGGTTTTCAGGAAAGCAGCATATGTTGGGTTCAGAGAAGGGTCTTGGTCTCCCTTTCCAGTAAAGTTGTAGAGCCTGTTGCTAAAAAAATTGCAGTGGCCTACTCCAATGGTGTGTCCACCTACATCATTCCATTGAGTCATTTTGTCAAACACTTGTTATGATTTAAACTTTTATACGAATGATTTGATTGTCTCTACCTGATAATACCACAAGGTCTTGGACATTGAGTCCTTTGCTAGCAAAACTTTGCTGGAGGGTGGTGTAGTTAGAGAAAGGCGAGGGAAGGTTAGCCAAGGCTTCGCTAGCAAGGGACACTGTGCCATCTCTTCTACCAGTGAGCAC